CATTTTGCCATTCTTGTTTTGATTTTAGTAGGGCTCGCCAGTGGAGGGGGATGCAGTCTATGATGTCGGTTAAGTTAGTTTGTAAGTGGTGTACTTAAGTTGTTCTCGTAGGTCTCTTTCTGATTTGTTTGGTTCGTCCCAAATGTGTTTGATTTGCCATATTCCCTTTTCTAGCCAATGCCCCCATTTGGGTTCTGATTTTGAGAGTGTGAGGCTTTCCCTTTTGTCGTTCCTAATCAGTGGGTTGCCGAATAGGGGTTGTCTAAGGACTTCGTCTTTTTTCTTTGGACCTGTTCTGTTCTCTGGGAAGATTGTTCTCCATGTGTGTAGAATTTGCTCCCAGAGCAATTTAGTCTGGGGAGATTCGTTAGTGTTCCTCTTGAGTGTTTGGTCGGACCGTCTCTGTTTCCCTTTCGGAAGTGGCCAGAATTTGTTGAAAATCCAGAAGAGGCCTGTCATATTGGTTGGGGAAGTGAAGGGAGCGAGTTCTCTGATGTGATTGAGGGCTAGTGGAGTCTAGCGTAGATTGTCTTGTAGGGCTAGTCTTATGACCCATTTGATCTGTAAAGCCTGTATTTGACGGGTAGGGTCTATAAGGCCTAAGCCCTCTTTGTTTTTTCGGCTGGTGACTAGCCAGGCCACCTTGTGAATAAAGTGTTCTTTGTCCGGATTGCCTGTCCATAGGAATGCTGCAACTTTTTTCCTTAACTGGTTTTGGAAGTCTGAGGCTGGGAACCATATGGAGGTGGAGTACCACATCATTGCTAGAATCGAATTGTTGAGCGTCAGTACCCTACCTAAAAAGGAAGTGTGTGTGGCTTTCCAGGTGTGCATCCTATTAACCATTGAAGACAAGAGTGTCGCTGCTGAAATCTGGTGGCATCCTTTGAGGTTGAGGTTAATGCCCAGGAATCGGATTGGTGAATCTGGATCTGTCCACTGTAGACCTGGAGGGGTTAGTTTTGTGGGAGGAGGTGTGTCTGCGGTCCACCAGCCTGATGTCTTGGTCCAATTGACTTTCATTTTTGAGGCTAGTTAAAATGCTTGCATTGCTCTTATCAAGGCTTGAAAGGAGGAGTATGTTCCTCTAATTAGTACTGTAAGGTCATCTGCGAATAGGAGGGTGGTGGGGATGTGGAGGTGTTGACCGTGTTCGTCTGTGAGGTTTTCTATTCTCTCAATTGATCTATCCTTTCTCAGGAAGGCGGCGATGGCCTCCATGACAAAAAGGAAGATCGGTGCTGCTAGTGGGTCCCCCTGTCTTACTGACCTTGTCATTGGGTAGGGGTTTGAAAGGAAGCCGTTGACTTGAACTATCCCTTGTGCGTCGTTGTAGAGTATTCTCACCCATTTCCGGAAGATAGGACCTACTCCCATTCTTTTCATGTTGGCCTGGAGAAAGTCCCAGTTTACTTGGTCGTATGCTTTCTCGAAATCAAAGAAGAGGATGGCTGCTGCAATACGTTTTTGGTTGATTATCCTCGTGGATTCGCAGAGGGACATTACATTGTCCAGGATGAGTCTTCCAGGTATGAACCCTGTTTGGTTTAGGTGGAAGCATCCTCCTGTGATCTTGTTTATTCTAGTGGCTAGGAGTTTGGCTAGGATTTTGTAAGCTACATTTAGTAATGAGATGGGTCTGTAGTTTTTTATGTCCTCTTTGTTACCCTTTTTATGTAGGAGTGTCACCACCCCCGTACTCAGTTCTGGGCCTAGAGTTTCTTCATCCCATGCTCTGTTGAGGAAGTTGAGGAGGAGTGGGCCTAGTTTGTGCCACCCAGCCATCCAGAATTCCTTAGAGAGGCCGTCTCTTCCCGAGGCTTTGTCGGGTTTGAGGTCGATAAGGGCTTTATGTAATTCTTCTAATGATATGGGTTCTTCTAGCGTTTTGGCTATTTCTGGTGATATGAATTGGTCTAGGTGGGTCAAGAACTTCTCTCTTGCTTTGTTTGTTGAGTTGTTGGATCCTATGGGTATTTTGGAGGTATAGAGGTCTTTGTAGAATGTGGTTGCTATGTTTACTAGTTTTGTTGTTTCTGTGGTTGGGTTTCCATTTTCGTCCTGTAGGCATTCTATTTTGGAGTTTCTGGAGTTTGATTTGATCTTATGGAAGAAAAAATTGGACATTCTTTCGTTCAGTTCCCAATTTTTCACCCTAGCTCTTAATTGGAGGTCGTTGAGCTTTAGTTTAGTCCATTCAGTCAACTCTTCTTTAGAATTTGAGAGTAGTTCTGTGTAGAATTTCGAGTTTGGGTTTTTCTGTAAGTTTAATTTTGTTATGTCTATCGCGTTTCTTAGGGACTCCTCTCTTTCTTTTCTGTGGGTGGCTAGTCTTCTGTATATTTGTGCTGTTTTTTCGCTAATGGTTTTGATGAATTGTGGGAATGTGGTGTGTATATCATCGTTGGATTGTCGTTGTGTTTGCGAGGTTAATAGTGTTTGTAGTTCAACTTGGAAGGTTTGGCTGGTGTGTATATCATCGTGGGGTTGTAGTTGTGTTTGTGAGGTTAATAGTGTTTGTAGTTCAGCTTGGAAGGTTTGGCTGGTGAGGAGGGCGTTGTTAAAGCGGTAGAAGTTTTTCCCTATGTAACCCTCTTTGGTGAGTCTGATGGCTAAGGATATGGCTTTATGGTCTAGTCCCTTGTGGTATGGGTTGTTGAGTATGGTACAGTCTTGGATGGTCCCTGATAGGGAGTCTGATGCCAGGAAGAAATCTATTATGGAAAAGGATGTCTGCTCGTGTGAGGTTTTCCTGATACATGAATATCTTTTAGTTTGAGGATATAGGAGGCGATATAGGTCCAGTAGATTCTTCCTGACCATGAAGTCGTTGAGATCAACGTTGTTTGATTGGGGTATGGGGTCTTGAGAGTGGGAGATCTTGTCTAGATTTGGGTTCTGTACTGAGTTCCAGTCTCCCATGATGATGGTGGGTGTGAGTGAGGGGATGTGTTGTTCGATTGTGAGTAAGAAGGGGGTTTTGTCTTGTGGAGCGTTTGGGCCATAGACTCCTATGACGGACATCTCCTCTTCTTTGAAATTGATGTCCAGCTTAATCCACCTGCCTGATATGTTGTCTTGGCTGCCATTCTGGATTTTTATTGCTTCATTGGTTGTCGATTTCTGATGGAGGAGGATGACTATCCCTGCCGAGCCGTTGTTTGCAGCTTTGGCCCAGAAGGCTTCTTTGATATAGGTGAGTTTCCTGATGATGGCTAATTGTAGTTTATTATGATCGTTGCTGATAGTTCGGTGTGTTTCCTGGAGGCATGTTATGTTTGGAGGGTTTGGCCTAAACCAACCTATGGTTTCAGTGAGATTCCTCCATTTGATTGGGTTCTCTAAAATGGAGGCCAAACCGTTGATGTTCCAGGATACACAAGTTAATTCAGGTTGTTTTCTGATTTCCTTTAGGATGTCTGCCTCGGTGGTGGGTCTAAATCTTTTTGCGTTGTTGTTTGTCCCGTTTTTTGGCTGGCCGTTCGAGGGATCTTCCATTGCTAACTGGAACGGTCAAGCCTGTTGCGGGACTGCTGATTGGCTCAGGTAGAGGGGTGGGAAGTTTTCTTTTCTTTCTCCTCCTTCTCTAACCTCTTCTCTTCCTTCTTCTCTTTGTCCTCCTTCAGCTTCTCCAGAGTCTCCTCCTCGTCCTTACCCAACCATTCCTCTCTCATGAAGGCTGCTGAGCTGTAAGCGATTTTGTCCACTTCGTCTTTCTGACCCAACAGAGAGTAGGGTATCTCGCAGATCATCTCCTAGGATTTCCACTTGAGGCCCTCCCTCAGACTGGCCTGCTGATCATAAAGGACGAAAACTGGTCTCAGGTCGCTGTAGCGCCTTTCCCCGTTGTCGTCGTCCCTAAACACGTCCAGACTATCGTGCTCAATCACTTTCATGGCCAGGGGGCGATCGTCTGAGATGTTTGTTCTTGCAAAGTTGAGACGTTTGTGCGAGTCTTGTGCTGTGATGATGCCCAGTGGGGACCCGACTGCGATCTGCCATTCCTTTTTGACTGAGTTGTAGCGGAAGGGCAAGAAAGGGATCGTGGGGGAGAGGGTGCGTGCATCTAGTGTGGCAGCCACAGTCAGATCATGCGGTTTGTGGTCTGCAATCTTGTTGAGGGAGTCAGCCGTCTCCTTTCTCCTCTTTCCTCACAACAACTTTTTTCTCGAATTCACAGCAGATGCATCACAGCACATCGCCTTGGCACTTCCACAACATGGATGAATAGCAGCACCTTACCTCACATGAGATCTTTGGCGAGGGGCAAATTGGCCAAGTGGACCTCAACCCTCTAGCCTTTCATTTGCTTCTTCAAGATTCTGTTCAGGCTGTTGAGTTCATATTCATATTATCTGGTCAGTTATATTTTGGTTTTGGTTTTGGTTTTGGTTTTGGTTTTGGTTTTGGTTCCGTATACTTTGACTACCTGACCTGTTGCGGCTACGCCCGCAATCAAGGAGGGATTTTCACATTGCTCAGCAGTTTGGGCGACGAGTGTTGTGGGTTAGTGGTTGTTGGAATGGAACTGACCTGTTGTATGTAATTCAATTTGCGTACCTTGGTTGTTGGATTAGAACTGACTGTTGTGTCTGGTGTTACATTCCTGGTCATTCCCAAAGTGCAAATTCATAATGAAAGACAATGCCACCCAATTGCGAAAGAAATGAAAGCACTTGCAAAGAGATAGAGACCAAAGAAAAGAGAAAGAAGAAGAAGAAGAAGAAGAAGAAGAAGAAGATGTACACCAGCAAGACCAATGTCAAGTCCCCCTTCTCTCTCCACCTTCCTCCTCCTCCTTCACTTCGCCAATCTTATTCTTCTTCCAATAATAATAATAACAATGAATGGATGAACCAGAATCAATATCCGAAGTTCCGTCTTACTGCTAACACAACAACAGGTCCACCATAGCGATGGCTTCCCCCCCCTTCTTCCTCCTCTCACATGCCTAGGCTATGGCGGACTACTCAGGGCTCTGCCCTCCTGTGCAAAGGACAACGCAAAGCAGCTATGTCGCTGCACTCCTGTCCAAAGGAGAACCCGAAGCAGCTGTGCTGCTGCTCACTGAGCCGCCATGCTTGACTCTGCCTCGAGCTTCCTTGGTGTGGCATTACCCCAACTGGGGCCTTCCAGATGCGGTGCCCAGCAAGGTGATGAAGATGGTGTCCACCATAGCCAGGTAGGTACCTCGCCACTCTCCTCCTTCGGCCCCTTCTTCCTCCTCCTCGGGCTGGGCTGCTCGCCATAGCCAGGCTGAGTGCCCAGCTGCTCTTCTCCTCCAGGCAGCGCTTCCCAAGTCCAGCGCTTGGCTCCTGCAGCGTGTCGCCAATCCTTGCATACCACAAATGAGGAGGAGCTGCTTGCTCCTCCTGAAGATATAGCGGCCTACTGGCCTCTTGGGCGGTGACTTCCTAGGCCGAGCGGCCTCCCAGCAACCGGTACCTCCTCCATTTTGGAGGGAAACATCATTGCAGGCTCTGCTATCGTCCGAACAGGCCCTAGACTCACGCTACTTGGACTGGTACCGGCCTACCTCTAACCTACCGCTACTGGGCCTCTAAAAACGCCAACTTTTGTCTTCTTCTGCTCGGCCTCCGGCACTTCATCATGTAGGAGGGTCTCACTTCCAACACCAAAGCGCAACGCCGGATCCCCCGCCGATGCTGAAGAACAAAGTAGTAACTTGCAGTCCGTAGATGCAGAATGGCTACCTCCCTCAAGATCGCCTACTTGAGGGAGGCCCTCAAGTCACCAAGTGTCTCCCATAGGTCAGATTCCAGGTGCGAGTGCGCCTCTCAATGTCGCCTCTCTCAACTTGTCGCATGAAGTCCTCTTGATGTGTCTCACCACCACACATTACACTCAAACAACCTGGTCAGGTTTAATGCCGACCCAGCATGACCTAACCAGGTGGGGAAAGCTTCCCCAAGCCATGCTGCCCCACTTCCCACTTCGGACCAACCCTAACCCTAAGTGGTTAGCCCTTACCACTTAGGTTAGGGTTAGGGTGGATAAGTCAACTCTCACCAGCAAGTAGAATCCGCTTTGGTACCAATGTTATCATCCTGGCCAATTTCGAAGTACACATTCATCAGATAGTACAATGTCGTCCAATTGCAGAAAGAAATGAATGAACTTGAGAGGAGAGAGAGGGTAAGAAGAAGAAGAAAGAAAGAAGAAGAAGAAAGAAAGAAGAAGAAGAAGAAAGAAAGAAGAAGAAGATGATGTACACCAGCATAGACAAATGATACAGCTTTTCTTCTTCGCCAATCACTCTCCTCCTCCTTATCTCCCCCTCTCTTATTCACACAAGAAATAATAATACAATGTTGAATGACTGAACCAGAATCAATGTCTAAATCCCTCTTCTACTGCAGGTATCACTTGCGGTCCACCAAAGCCATGGCCACCTCCCTCGCTCCTCACTCTCATAGGCCGAGGCTATGGCGGACTACTGGGCCTTGCCCTGATGGCCAAAGGACGACCCAAAGCAGCTATGGCCGCTCTAGCTCAGGCCGTCATGCCTGACTCTGCCTCGAAGCTTCTTGGTGCAGCTCTGCCCCAACGGGGACCTTCCTGCTCCAGCGCCCACCAAGGTGATGAAGATGGCTGCCACCATAGCCAGGTAAGTACCTCTGACGCTCCCCCTTCCTCCTGGTCTTCTTCCTTCTCCGTGTCCTTGCTCCTTCCCCAGCAGCGCTGCTCCAAGCTAGCGCTGCTCCAGCCAGTGCTCCAACCAGTGTGTTGCCGAACTTGCACACAACAATGAGGCTGGGCTCTTCGCCCGGCCTGGAGATAATAGCGGCCTGCTTGCCTCTTGGGCGGTGACTTCCACACCGCTCGGCCTTCCAAGCAACCGGTACCTCCTCCCTTTCGGAGGGAAACATAATTGCAGACTCTGATATTGCCAGTACAGGCCCTAGACTCAGACTGGTTGGACTGGTACCCACCTAGACCTCGCCTACAACTACTGGGCCTCTAAAAATGGCACTTTTGTCGTCTTCTGCTCGGCCTCGAGTACCCGGCACATCTACATCTCAGGGTGTGGTACCAGCCTACCTGCTACTTGAGTGTTTCCCCGCTGCTTCAAGTGTTATGGGCCTCTTCCCCCGCCACTTGAGTGTTTTCCCCCGCTGCAATCCTCAAAGTCACAGCCACAGGTAAGTACCGGCCCTGAGGGCCCAACGAACAAACAGGTGCCCTTGCGGGTCACACACACACTCAAGCCAACCAGCACTCAGACAGACCTGCAGACCAGCAGGCGTGCCCACACACAGACATGCAGAACTTAGTAGCAAGCGGGAAACTCAGCAACGCATTCAGTCCATGAGAAAAACTAAGTAATCAGCTGTGTGT